GAAAGAGGAGGTGGCCCTGCTCATTCCTTCCCTCCTCACAGGTCTCTGAGGGCTGCCAGAGGTATGGCAGAAGACCACTCTCCACCTCCAGATGACCACACGCACACAGCACAAAAAATGAAAATCTGTGTATGGGACAGGTTCTCCCCACAGCTCGCTGGCGAGTACAGAAAGCCAAATACTTCTCTAACTCGTGCTGTCCAGTGTTGGTTTACTAACAGTCATTTAATCTCTGTAAAATCCATGGGTTTAAGCAGAAACACCAAACCTCTAGAACCAATTCATCTTCTCTGGCAAAGCACAGCTGATACTTGGACAGTGAAAAGGTAAGCTCACTGGGCTGTGTAACTGCAGCTGAACAATAAACTGGCTAAAGGAAGGGTTTATCGTAAGGTATCACTTGTCAAGCTCAGAGCCTTGAAGGAGGCTGCTTAGCACGAAATGCTGGAGAACTGGGTGTGTGACTGCAGGCTGTTCTTATCCCAGCGGTGGTATTTGCTCTCACCACAAGTCATGAAGCCTCTGAGACACTGAGAGAACTGCCTTCAGTCCATGGAAAAATTACTGAAGTAGTGAGAGAGAGATAGACTGCCTTAACGTAAGTATTAACTTTGCTCTCTGCTGTTAACAAAGGAGAGAAGTTCTTGTTACTGAAAGAAATTCAAACGGGAAAAAAAGGAACGGCAAACAAAAGTAACACTGGTCAGTTCATTTTGGCACACATCAGGCTGCAATTCTGCTGCCAAAGTCAATGTATTACTGCTGTGTAGCTATAAATTTCAGTTGTGTTTGAATAAACACCAGCATATAGAACCAGTTTGGGTCTGCCTAATGCAGCCTGTCTGTAGACAGGACAGAATACTATATTTCTTCAGCTGAACGGCCCCAAAATTAAAATCTTTAGTTGCTTTCAGAGTACACGTACCTGCAATCCCCTGTAGCAGCCCACAGACATTAAAAATGCTTTTCTTCATAATACTCTGCACACACATAGTAAAGACAGACACAAACGCCACGGCACAGAGAATCATGATTCCCACAGCTAGGAAAATAGCGGTTGCCTGCCAGAACCCACTGGCAATCTCATTGAAGTTTTCGGCGTAAGGACCACAAAGCGTGTCTCGTCTGGAAAGCTGCATGTGGGAGATTCTGGTGCAGCGCCCGTAGATGCCCAGTGTTGGATGGTAAGGCTCCTGCGACCCCCCCGTTCTGTTGTCCACATCCTCGGAGCTTGAAGGCTTTGCTTTGCCAATCAGCCAGGCC